ACATTAGGAAAAAGTTCCTAACTGTCAGGGTGGTTAAACACTGGAATAAATTGCCTAGGGAGGCTGTGGAATCTCCATCTCTGGAGATATTTAAGAGTAGGTTAGATAAATCTATCAGGGATGGTCTAGACAGTATTTGGTCCTGCCATGAGGCAGGGGACTGGACTCGATGACCTCTCGAGGTCCCTTCCAGTACTAGAATCTATGAAACGAAGGAAGGGCTTTCCCCCCAATGCACAAATGGGTATTCTTGGGGGTGGGGAGGAGGTGAGCCCTTTCTCTGAAGCATCAAGGATGGCCACAGCTGGAGACAGGATTCTGGATGGGGAGGGCCAATGCTCCGCCAACACACAGTGCTGAAGATCAAGATGGAGCATTTGCTCCTGGGTCCCCTGTGTTCTCTACGATTAAGAATTAGGGTGTCTTTAAGTGATGCTGAAAAGCCCCAAGAGCCTGCATGTCATACTTTGGCTCACTCTATGTGGGAGAACCCAATAAAGTGAAGGTAAATTACAGGTATCAAGAAACTATACCACAAAATAGAGCATAAGGAACTGTGTAGTATAGAGGTGAGAGCATAGGACTGGCCCTCAGGAGAGCTGAGTTCTGTTGTTGTGCCTCAAGTTCCTCATCTGTAAAATGGTTTCATAATATAGATCCACTTTTGTAAAGTAATTTGAGCTCCTTGGGTGGAACACACCATAGGTATGCTAAGTATTTATTCTTACTATGTAGCTCACTGCCCTTTTCTGGATAGAATTAGAACTCCTCAAGTGTGCACTATTAGCTGTAATGTACTGGTGGTTTATGGAGGTTCATCAAAAAAATTTTTCTTTAAAAGCAGAAAGATCAGAGTTCAATCCCTCCTAGTGCCATGTATTTCTGAGTGGTCATGGTATGCAACACAGTGACAACTAGGAAGTCTCAAGTGACCACAGATTTTTGTAACCCACACGTTAATTTCACACCCTGTTAGATGGGGAGGTGGTGGGAGCTACATATGGGGCCCTGATGCTGCAATGAGCTCTGGGTGAATGGAGTCCCTGCACGTGGATCTTCCAAGATCAGGGCCATGGGCTGTAAAGGTTGCCTCATTTTGGAGTTTGTCCAATGGTCTAAGCTATCATAGTGGCATATTGCAACAAAACAGGGTAAGGTGTGACATTATCAGGTTGCATTGTGTCTGTTGTCATGCTGCAATGCAAATAATGCAAGGACACATGTCCTAGGCATCCTCAATCTGTGATCATCAGGTTGAATTGCAATGTCATCATGTGACAGTGCCTCGCGGGACATGGGCGGTAGCTTTCAGACCTGAGAGCATCCTGCAACCAGTGAGTCCCCACTCCCCAACAAAACTAGATCTCTCCTGCAGCTATTGGGTAGCAGCCCTGCCCTGCCCAGCCACTCATAACATTTTTTGCATAATGGTAATGTAAACCACAGACAAATAGAGACAGAAGAAAATCCACTGTTTGGGGATGGTAAGTTACTGAACATCAGGACTGTGTATAGATCAGTGCATGCAAGGCCAGATTTCCCAAAGAGTTCATTATTAATAATTATTTATTATTTGTATTATCACAGAGCCCAAATCATGGTCCAGGACTTCACTGTGCTAGGTGCTGTACAAACCCAGAACAAAAAGATGGTCCCTGCCCCAAGGAGCTTACCCCCTAAGACAAGAGACAACAGCTAGATGGGGGACTACAAGGAAACCATGGGATATGGTCAGCCTGACAGGCAGTGATCTCAGCACACCAGCAATCTAACGGTTGTCAATTTTTTTGTAGGCAACATGGCAAAGGAGAGTTTGGTGGAGGAATTTGACGGCAGCTAATGAGATAGCTTTGGGGATGCTAACTGGGAGCTTCTCCCAAGCATGTGGGGCAGCGTGGGAGAAAGCACCCACAGCTTTGTTTCAAAACTTGACAAGTCCCATGGGCTCCACAGCTGCTGGGAACTTTTGGAAGTCTGACCAGCTTCATTTAAGTGCTCAGCTAGGAGCTAAAATCTTTTGTTGGGGGGGGAAATCTGGCCCCTCTGAGACTGAAGCTGCCTAGTTTGGGGGCCAGACCCACCCTTGCAGCTGAATTCCCAAGAATCCACGTATACAGTCTTTCTGCCCCCTCCCGCCTCTCAATAGCGGGAGCCAGTGCAGAGTGAACCATAAACTTTACTAGCAGAGGCGGAGCGGAGCCCTGTGCGCCGGTGCGGGAGGCGGAGCCCGCAGCTGCAGCCGGCCCGGCCCAGGGAGGTTTTCCCGTGGCCTGGCCCTTCGGGTGAGTACGGGGGGAGGGGGCTCGCGTATATCCTGGGCGGCGGGGCGGGAGTCCCTGCTGGGGGGCCCTGCCCGGCTGCTGCGTGGGGCGAGCCGCTGCGAAACGCGTGGTGGGAGCAGAGCCAGCTGCAGCGCCGTGCACTCTGCCCAGCTTGCAAACTGCTGGGGACCCAGGGGGATGGACTGGTGTGCGGCCAAGCGTGGGCAGGCTGGGCTGTCCGTGCACAAGAGCCCGTGTCAGCTGATGGGCTGTGGGTTTGCAGAATTAGACTTGGATTTGGGGTGAGCCCCACTCCTAGGGGAGATGGGGGAGGGGTCAGCTAGCTCTTTTTGGGGAGGGAGGAATATGGGGAAGTTCTTCCCCTCCCCTGTCTTGGGCTGTGTGTGTAAGAAAGCACCATGGTCAGGGCTCTTTCTTCTTGCACAAGTCAGTTTGCAGAGTGCACTTGGTTTCTGTTCCGTGGAGGATTCTGGGACGGGAGGAGGTGAAGGGAGGAGCTCAGTCAGTCGTTTATGGGTAGGGAGATTGTGTGTGGTGTGTGTGTGTGAGGAGTGATTTATTTATGGGGTGTGGGTTTTGGTGATGCCTTGTCGAGGGAAGGGAACAAAGTTACGGTATTTATAAAAACAACGAGGAGTCCGGTGGTACTTTAAAGACTAACAGATTTATTTGGGCATAAGCTTTCGTGGGTAAAAAACCCACTTCTTCAGATGCATGTAATTTTCACTCCATGTATCTGAAGAAGTAGGTTTTTTACCCACGAAAGCTTATGCCCAAAT